CTTGTGTATGTTCATGACAGGGTGTTTTTTTTTTTTTTTTTTTTTTTTTTTAAGTTGTATTTCACACATTGGGACCAGTGCCGAAGGCTTACATCAATCACGTGATGAGTAGCTCAATCCCAGAGGTCCCTCGCTCTGGAGCCCGCTCTCCAAGCCTATTCACACCTCTGCAGAAAACCCAAGAATTCGACAACAAAGAGGAGTTGAAAGACAAAAAAAAAAACAAAGACCACTCCTTCACTATCTACTTCGTACTACTCCCTCCCTATAGGATTCCTAATAGTTTTGCTCGGGGGGGGTTTGTTTAAATATAGGGCCTGGTGGACAATGGTATGTTGTGCGCCTTTCATTTCCATGGGAGGGGGATGCCGAACCCCTCTCTTGGGCCACTGTATTACAACCGCAACCGTGGTATGAACCTGGTCGGAGTGCCCGAATCATGCCCGCAAGGTTGCATTGTTAAAAAAAAAAAAAAAAAAAAAAAAAACAGCAGTTTCTCCTGCATGCGTTTTACTGCAATTACATCCAGATGAGTCAACGAGTCAAAAGGTTCATAGTACTGTCAGTATGCCCTTAGAGCTTTCCTGGAATAGGGTCTCGTTAGACCCGGCTGCGACTCCATTGCGTGTGGGGCAGGTACTTCTCAATCGATCGGTGGACGGTGCAGTCGATCCATGCTGTCGGGCTACTGCCGAGGGGCCGACACCGCCAGTAACGGACGCACCGCCACGAAGTGTGGACTGCTCTGTATGCTGACTTCCAGCATGTTGAACGCCACGTGGCGAGGGATCCGCGTCGATGATGAACGTACGACTCGCCTCCCTAATGCCGCCAGAACACAACCCGAACCTGAGATCAACTCCGCCGTCGTCGTCATCTCCCAAGCTTTGGTGCAGGTGCGAGCAGGCGGGTCGGCTAGCAACGAAGGCGGTTGGCATGAGGCAACATTGGAAGTTCTTCCGTCTCCGGCTCCTCGTCCGACTGGGGAAGTGGTGTCTCCCAAGACTCCAGATCCCTGTACAAAGATGGGTCGTACCTTCGTGGAGGCTCCGCGGTCGTAGGTCGTCTTCCGCCCTGACCTGCACCAACACTTGCGCGTGCATGCATGCCCGCCATCGGATGTTCCTCTGCCGCCCGTTTCGTCGACGCCCGCCTCTTGCGATGTTGTTTCCACGGCCACCACGACAAACACACGTGGAGGCAGACGACAATCAAGAACACGACGACAGCGAGTACCAGCAGAGGCAATCTCCTCTGCACGTCGGCCATGAGATTCACCTCGGGAGCCACCCTCGCACGCGACTACTGCAGACGACTGTTCGGACATGCCGGGGGACAGAGCCGCTCAACCTTCATATGCCAACAACCAGCAACGAAGACGACAAAGGCGCCTGCCTGCGATTCAAAAAACCGACCGTTGCCCCCCTCGCACCACCCGAAGCGCCTCCGTATGTCGTCCCACGCACGTCGTCGTCTTCCTCCGCTACCCGCAACCGAGTCAACGGTCCACTACGGACGTCACCCCGCTCACGTTCGCCCCCCCCCGTGCTCCACCGCGTCGGCCAACGGCTACCGTTGGCGGCCTTTGCCGGCCTCGGCCCGCGGAAAACCTCCGATGTTCGACCACCCACCAGACGGACCGCCCCTGGACCAGCAACTCCGTGTCGACGGTGCCATGCACACGACGCTTGTCCTAACGCCGTTTTCACATTTTTTATCTCAAAATTGGATTTACGATTGCGTGCAACGAAGACGTAATCCTAAAAACAGGCACTTTTAGGAGTGTCTAATGAGACCCATAGCACAGAAATAAATGTGACTGTCATGAACAGATCACAATAGGGGTGATATGACAAGCCCCTCTGAGTGGTAACGTTTTTTTTTTTTTCTGTCTGTCCTCCCCCTGATTTTTTGTCTGTTTTCCTCTTGTTGTCTGTCCTCCCCCTGATTTTCTCAAAGTATTTCTGCTTAGTACACATACACACACACAATCAGTTTTATGTTTGTCTGTCTTCCTTTTGCTGTCTGTCTTCCTCTTGCTGTCTGTCCTCCCCCTGGTTTTCTCAAAGTATTTCTGCTTAGTACTTACCAAACCTAGCACCCTTAAGTAGTGCCAAACAGTCGTTGGTTCCTGTTTTGGAGTGCCTACTCAGCCCTACTGCACTCTTAGGGGGGCTGCTTAGTTCGAGATGTCTATGTTACCTGTGGGTGATGACGGATGATCGTCGGAGTGACTCCCTGGCTCAGTGGGTGGTGGGAACCAACAGTCTGCGACTCTACGGGGTTCAATCGTGATGTGAGTAGGTCATGTGCTGCTTTGCTCCGTGTTGGATGTGTGGACTGCCTCGTTTGCGCTCTGTTGCTACCTTGCTGCCTG